ACAGTAGGTGCTCAGAAAATGTCTGTGGAATGGCACAAGTGGGGAGGACAAGACGCAACCTGGGAGATGTTACTTCATTGCTGTGCCATTACAACTTCTCTGATACTTCAACTTCCCAGACATACAGGGGCCAAGCAGAACACAGATGACTGCTGCAGGCCAGGGGACCTGTCAGAACTGGGGAGAAAATACCCCAATCGGGGATTGGGCATATTGTGATTTATTATTTATTATTTTTGAGAAACTAAATATCTGGGCATGTATGTGAAATCTAATATTTAAATTCTGACTGGTTAAAAAAAAAAGTTTTCAGCAAGCCCATGGGCCATCTCTGTTTATGAGGATGGTGGGAGTCAGTATGTGAAATTAGGGTGTGCAGGGAAGAGCAGGAACCTTCCAGAGGCCACCTTCTGGGGTAGGAGGCTGCTTGAATGACTAGAAAAGAGTGCAGTCACCCCACACAAACCCCAGGGGAAGGCCATGGTGGGAGGACCCAGCCCCGACGAGGGCCATCCCCTCTGAGTGGCTCTCACATTTTCCACCTGGAATCAGGCCTGTCTTCCCCAGGATGCCCGTTGGCCCAGCAGAGCAGAACTGATTTTGCATTCCAGGGTGCCCAGAGCCCTGAATGAGAGCTTGACTGGAGCAGCTTTAAACATTCTTCACAGCAGGTGATTGGGTCTTGATCTGCAGGATGCATTCAGCTGAGTCACCAGCTCCAAACAATATGAGAAATAAAACGCTGGCCACGCTCGGGCCGGCAGGTGCCTCCTGGTACCCGGGGCAATGACAGGAGCGCTCCCAGCAGCAGCCCCAGCGCTCCCAGCCCGACCCCTGCCAAGGCCCTGCTCAGAACAGAGGTAGGCAGCCCCCTAGATGAAGCAGCTACGCTGTGCCAGGCCCCACACAGGATGGGGGAAGGGCTTCATAGAGGCCGAGGAGGCCTGATCCGTGCCATATTACAGGTGGGGAAACCAAGCCACAGAGAGGGATGGGCCTGCCAAGGTCACACGGGGGGAAGGAAGGGCGGGGGGGGGGGGGGGGTAGCAGAGCTGGGAATGGGAACCAGGGTGTCTGCATTCCCAACCCCACTCTGCCAGAAACGCCAGGAAGCTCTGTCCCTCCTTGGCAATTTTTTGGTGTTTTTTCTGCACCCCCAAATGGGCTGTGGTTTTCTCACCTTGGTCTAGGGACCCCAGAGGCAAGGCTTAGTGCTCTTTCTATGCAGGAGGTGTTTCTGTGCCTTGGCGGTCAAGTACAGTGGTTAGAGGCCATGGAAAATCTCACCTGCCCTGTGTTTGGCCATGGACTTCTCTCTGCCTCAGCTCCCCCACGTTAGGGAATGTGTCCCAACAGTGAAACACACACGAAGTGCTTAGAACCACTGTGATCACAGCCCCTGAGTAACACTCATCTCCCCGGATAACCAACCAGCAGCCTTGAATGCCAACACAGGGCCCTGCTGGGTACCCCGGACTTCCTCTCCAGCTCTGGTCCACACCCTCCATACCCAGTGCTGCTGGGGTGCAGCATTGCAACCCACCCTCCCCGGGGAACTCCTCCCAGCTCCACTTCCCAAGAGACAGTAATGACACCTCTGAGCTTCAGAGTCCTCATTTGTAAAATGTGTTCTGTAAGGAATGCCTGTCTCACAGGGCACTTACCAGGGTGTAGAATTTTCTGTTGGCTGGCCTGGGTACAAACAAGGATAACCGGCTCTCTGAGGAGACTGGTGCTCTGAGCCACAGCAACCCCAGAAGCCTACCTTGCCCCTGCCCTGCTGGGACTGCGTCTGAGGGCCGAGCCCTTGTATGAAGCCCAGGACACAAGGTACTCAGGGCCTACATCCTTGAGGTCTCACTCGGTTGTTGTTGTTCTGAGGGATGTGAATCTTGTCCCCGGCCCAGTCAGACTGCCACTCTGCCCCAGGCCACTCACACCCATCTGTTCAGTGGGGCTTAGAGCCAAGTGGGTATCTCTGATCTCTCGCTGCTCCACAAACCAACTTCTGAGACCGAGGCTGCTTGTGGCTGTGGCCTCCCTTTCTGATGGTTTAGCGGCTGCTTCTCTGGACTGGCTGTGTCCCCTCATGATGCCCTGCCCTAAGGAGGCAGGGCAGACTCCTAAGGAGGGTGGCAGGAAGAAGTGGGAGCGGGAGTTCTCGCAAAGCAGCCCCAGGCTCAGTGGCATGGTGCCGGACAGCCTGAGTGGCAGGTGTAGGCAACCTGAGCATCATTGGAGACACGCCCAGGAAGCTAAGCTGCTCTAAGAGGACCTCTTAGCCCCGGGAGACAGCCTGCCCGCCCTTCCTGGGCTCAGGACCTCGGACTGCAAAGTTCAGGCAGCTTGTCAGTGACACCCTGTCAGGGAAGCGACAGCGCTTCCCTGTGGGCATTCCAGGAGGTGGCTCCGCACAGGGTCCTGGGGACACTCTATAATAAATGATGTCTGTGTTTCCTCAGCTTCACAGGCCCCATCTCCAAAAACAAGCCAGTGTCCCCACAATGCATCAGCTCTCCCCAAGGTCACATAGTTCCCCATCCCCCCAAAGTGGAGGTAGGCTGCTAGAACCTGAAGGAAGTGGGGAAGGGGGTTGGTGCGAGGGCAATGGGTTGAACCTGGACCCAGCGTCTCTGAGGGAGGAAAGCCACAAACGGAAGGGACAACTTCTGTGTGAAGCTGGCAATGACCCATGAAGCCTGGAAATGAGGCCCAGGAGGCAGAAGGTGATGACCCTGCAAACCCAAAGGCATTCCTTGTTCCAGCTGAAGTCTTGCCCTCCCTATTTGCTGGAAAACAAATTAACTGAGCGCACTTAAGTCCCCTTGGCCAGAACCTAGTTACGTGGCCACATCCCCTGACGGGGAAGGCTGGAAAAGAGAGTCTTTACTCCAGGCAACTGTGTAGCCAGCTAAAAGCCAGGGAGTCTAGTACCGTGGAGGAAAAGGAGATTCTATGTCGGAGGACAGTTATTAGCCTCCCAGAAGACTATAAAACTGAAACAATTTAATTAAGATTGTGTGTTCCAGCAATTTCACTTACATGGATTACCAAAAGCATATTTATAAGAAATGCTGTTGCTGCATTGTTTGTTGTTGGGAAATGTCTTAGAAACAAAAGTCCATCCCAAGGGAACTGGTTAAATAAATTGCCATGTATCTATAATGTGTGTGCAGCTGCCAAAGTGAATGATCAGCAGATCAATTACTCAGTGGAGAAAAGAAGCTACAGAGCATTTATGGCCCCTAAACCAGGGTTAATACACACACACACACACACACACACACACCACACACTTCCCGTGCTCCTGAGAGGCGGGCAGGAAACTGAAGGCCAAAGTCACAGATTCACCTCTTGCTGTATATATCCCTTGTAATGCATGAGTGTTTTTTGCCACCTGCATATATTTAAAGAAACAAACTTTAAAGTCAGAACAAAAAAGCAGGAGGCATCTAACCTCTTTTTTTCTGTTGATACCTCCCCGAGGACTTGGCTGCTTGCTCGATAATCTGAGTAAAGCAGGCTGTCGCTATGATGTCTTAGATTGTGTTTGCATCAGAGGCTTCCAATATTGAACCCAGCTCTGAATCTGACTGTTAAAACCCCTGTCTGGCCCCCAACACTTGCAGGCTTCCCTTTCTCACCTAACAGGACTCTTCCAAAGTTGTGAGGCGGAGCTCGGCTCGCTGGCTGTGTCTTTGCACTTGCCATGCCCATGGCTTTGTCAGCCCTCGGGGCCCTGGATTCTGGGAGCCTGGCACGTGGGACCCACTGCCACAAGCTGTCTTGGAGCTGGTACCCTCAGTGCCCTCCTGAGAAAAAGGACAGTAGCAGAGGTAGGTGCCAAGTCTGACTCTCAGCACCTCCACCACCGCAACTAAGACCTCCTTCCCTCTGACAGTGGGAATTACATAACTGCAACTCCCTTTCCTCTGGCTGCCAAAGGACTCAAAACCAAAGTGAGCTGCACTAGCAGCAATATGGACGTGTGGCTCTTCCCTCTCACCTTCATTTTCCCATCACAGTGTTTCACTCTGACTTCCCCTCATCACATCCATTCTTGCTACGAATGTCATTCCCCAGCATCGTGTCTTCTCAGTACCTCTGGGTGCCAAGCACCATTCCAGAGGCTATCATTACTGTTCGATTCCCAAATGCCAGTCCTTCACACTTATTATTCTCTAGTCCTCACAAACATACAGAGCTCCTTATCCCTTTTAACAGAGGGTAAGACTGCAGCTGCAGGAGGGAGTGGCTGGCTCAGGCCAAGAGAGCAGCAGTAGAGAAAGGATGGGACCGAAGGGCTTATTCCAACCCCCACACACTTAGTAGAGCGGAAAGACAGCCCACAGAAACCACAATTCTTCTTCCACGTTTGTCCCCTCCACTCAAACAGAGATGGACCAGATTTCTCTCCGCCTCCCGGCAGCCGCAGGGCCTGTGCACTGGCAGTGTTTCTTGGTTGAGCCTCCCTGGGCTCAGCATGCAGAGGGATCTGCCGGGATCTCTGAGCATCCCTGCCCTTGGGCTCCTGAAAGGTACCAGCCCCAGTACCCTGACAGAATCTCCACAGCAACACCTGTGCTCATTTTCCTTTTTATTAAAAAATAGATCAAGAAAATATACACACTTCAGCCCACCTGCCAGAGTGAGCTTTGAAAAGGCCAAAGTGCTGTCGGGAAGGGTGCCAGCTCTGGGAGCCCAGGCTTTCTCCTTTGGAGAAAAGAGGTGTCCTTGGCCAGCATGAGAGATCATAATCTGGACCACATTGTGGAGCAGGGCAAGGGAAGACAGAAGGAGGGGGGTGGGGGAGGTGGGGTATAGCTAGAGCAGAGATGGCTGAGGGCAACTGGAGGCCCGGATGGAAGGACAGAGCCTGCATAGCATGGCCACCCACACAAGGTCCTTGGCCTTGTCCTCCCAGGACTCTGTACTGCCTGGCCTCCTCTCCCCTCTGCCGTCCACGGGCCCCGGACTCTTTGCAGCCAGGGCAGCTGCGATCAGGCATTGAGAGCCCTCCAGCGCTCGCTGTCTGTGCTGTTGATGCTGCCGGTATTGCAGGGCATGGAAGCGATGTCATCCAGGTAGGACATTCCGCCGGCAGAGTCGAACTGTGTGCTGGCAGCACCTGCTGCCTCCAGGCCCTCCCGCCGGGTTACAGCATAGGGATGGGGCAGATGCATGTCTGGTTCCTCAGTCTCATCCACTTGGCATTTGTAGGAGAAAAGGATCTTGGGCTCCGAGCTAGTAGAGAGGACAGAGGGTCATGGGGAGCCCCTCAGTCTGAGTCCAGAAAGGCCCTCCTTCATTGGGCAATGAGGCCATCAGACCAGGAGGAAATGCACTTATGGCTGCCTAACGCCAAACCTGAGGTCCCTATCGCTTGGACCATGGAGTCCAACAGGACTAAAACCCAGCCTCTTCCTGGATGTGTGCACTTGGGCAAGAGGTGCTGTGCCTGCTTTCTCACCCCAAATGGGTACAACAACCCTAACCTCAGAGGCTCTTCGTGTAGGGTGAACAGCCTGAAACAGTATCTGGTGAGCATGCTCAGAAGCATTGACCATGACCTCCACCCCTGCACTCTGAGCTCACCCCTCAATCCTCAGGATCACTATTTGAGGGAGAAAAAAACTGCACCCAATTTTCAAACAGGAGCCTGAGGCTAGATCGGAGCTAGGCTGGAATCAATCTAGTCCTTCTCACTCCACCTCTAAAGCCCTCTCCCAGCTTTTCCAGTCAGGAGGAAGACTACCTCAAGCCTGGCAGGTGGGGAAGGTTGGTTTGGGGGAAAATGCATGAGCTTCCATCACCTCAGAGGCCTGGGGTTCAACTCTCAGTCCCCCATGTCTTTAGCATCCCATCTCCCAAACACACCTCCAAGCGTGCGCATCCACCCCCTGCTCAATATACTCTGGACTCCCCCCCAACCCTGCTCCTCTGCCTAGTCACCCCCAGCTAGAATAGAAGCTCTGTGGGCACGAGAAACTGTATAATTTATTCCCACTTGTATCTCGGGTATAGCAGTGCATGGCACAGTGAGTGTGTGCTGAGGAATGAATGGATTAACCTATTCTTCAATGAAAAACAGCAAATGCAGAATAATGTGCATAGCTACTGTCTATGTAGTACAGTAAAGTGTACTTTTCCATGTATGTGGCATATATATACACGTGTGTGTGTGCATGTGCACATTTGTGCACATCTGTATATGTGAGTGTGCATGTGTTTGTGTATGTGTGTACATATATGTACATGTATACACACAGAGACACTCGCCTGCCCCTCTCTCTCTCCTGTCTTAGCCTACATCCAGAACAGGGGAGCTCTAAAAGCTGTACCAGGCAGGTACACACGCTCAAGAAAGGGAGGCGCAGTTCCGCCCACAACCACGCGGGGGCGCCTGGAGCCCTCCAACCCAGGGCTATGGGCTGGAAAGCCTGGAGCTCTATCAAGACCTCCAGCTCACCAGCCCCCAATCCCTCCTGCCTGGGCCCCTGCGGGAAGACTCACCCGAAAAAACCCCGGAGGAAGGCCACGTAGATGAGGGGCGCGAAGAAGCTGAAGTAGAGGAACGTGGTGGCGTCCACACAGCTGGGGAGGGGGACAAAGGGGACCGACCGGTCAGAGCATGCCTCCCTGGGGATCTCCCCAGCCAGGGGCTTCCTGTCCCAGCTCCCCCAGCCTCCATACCAGAGCCCCTCGATGATGTCAGCACAGAGCAGCGCGCTTCCCAGCCCCTGCACCAGGTTGAGCAACGCCAGGATGCCTGCGTACACATAGAAGCTTCTCCGCGCTGGGGGGTGGGGGGAGTGTGAGGTCCTGTCCTCTCCTCCACACTTCATCCCAGGGTGTTACTGGGACCCCTCGGTCCCCCAACGAGTCCTTCCTCCCTTCCTCCCACCCAGGGCTCTCCAGCTCCAGGCCATTGTGGCCCAAACAGACTCTCCCTACCCTCCCACCCAGCAGTGTCCCAGAGCAGCTCACAAGGCAGGGAGATGCGGTCCTTCAGAGGGGTCTTGGGAAGCACGACCACCAGAGAGTACACCTACAGAGACGGAAGCGGGCTGAGAAGGGTGCTGGGAGCACCAGGCCTAGAACTAGGCCAGGTTCCACGGTGTCAGGCTCCGGCTAACTCGGCCACTCCCAGCGGCTCTGAGCCCAGGGTCCACCCTCTGCCTCACCAGGAAGAAGAAGCAGGAGCTGACCAGCCAGAAGTGGCGGCCCCCGTGCCCATAGATGTTGAAGTCCTCAGCCGAGAGGTGGGCATCAGGGTACAGGATCTCCAGGGTCCCCTGCAGGGACAGGCAGGGGAGGGTCTCACAGGATGCGCCACTTGGAAAGTCCCCTCCCTGGGGCCTTCTACCACAAAGGCTATCCACCACACCAAGCCCAGCCCCAGCCTGGACCCCAGGGGTTCCTGCTCCAGCTTACTCTCTGATCACTTCCTTCCCATCCAGCTACAGCACCCAGAACAGGCCCAGGTGGAGCAGGGGACAGAGCTGACCCAAACTTAAGAATGTGTTCTGCAGACCTACATTCTCCTCCCTGGGCTGCTTGTTCAAACCGCAGGTGATGGGCATCCTCCCCTCCCCCACCCCGATCTGTAAGGAGGAAACCTGGGAGGGTCCCCCAGAACCTGCCTTGTTAACACCAGGTGACTCCTTAGAGTCACTACATTTTGAGAACTACATTTTGAGAACACTGCACCTGATAAACACTCAAACCCAGATCCAGGACCAGGAGGCAGTGGATGCTTGGCCTTTGCTGACTACAAGCCTCCTCCAGGGAGCCCCAGGGCTGCCCTGCCCCGCCCACCCCCTTACCTGGGTGACAGAGTAGGCCAGGGACAGTACGGTGGTGATGGCCAGCACACGTTTGATGCTTGACTTGCTCTCCAGGTGACCTGGGAAAAATGTGCTGGTCAGTCAGCAAGAGCCAGCCCAGGTGACCACGGGGCAGGGAGGGGCAGGGAGAGCGTTAGCCCCAGCAGCAGACGCACCAAAGGCAAGGCCCAGGATAACCACACTCAGCTCGATGGCCAACAGGAAGAAGCGAGTAATCTCCCACAGGATCTGGACACAGAGTGGGCAGAGTGTCAGCCTGGGGCCCAGTCACCCGTCTCCCCCGTGCCCAGCACCCCTCTTGCCAGCAGGCCCAGCCACACCTTATCAGCAACAGTTGCAGCATCCGAGGTGCTGACCGTCATGCTGACCACGGCCCGGGCAATGCCCACCAGAGCCACCACGAACACCTGGTGGGTGAGAAAGGGGTGTGGTTCTGGGAATCGCAAGGACAGCAAACCCACCCCCCACATCTGCAGTAGTTCTGATTCCTCCAGAATGGAAGGGTTCCAAACTAAACAGCAGGAGATGGGGAGACCACCCTCCACTTGCCTGGTCCTCCTCTCTTGGGCCTCAGTGTCCCATCTACACTGACAGCTGCAGAATGGTTAGTAGGGTGGCTGCTTCCTGCCTCTGTGACCTCAGGCAAGTAACTACACCTCCACGACTCAGTTTCCTTATCTAGGAATTAGAAGTAATAATAGCACCTACTGCATCTGAGCACTGGAGGGATCAAATCTATAATAATAAAAGTGTAATATGCTAATTAGACCAGATGTCCTTCTGGACAACCTTCCAGACAAAGCTGAGGCTGCGGGGAAGCTCAGGTCCTGGGAGGGAAGCTGGTGCCACAGCCAGGGAAGGAAGGCCTACTCTTGCACAAATTTCATGCATCGGGCCTCTAGTGGGTAAGTAAATGTAGACGTGAAGGGCTGGGTCCACATCTGCCGTTAATCTTGTCATGGTCATGGTTTTAATTCTGAGACCTGGGGGGCTGAGAAAGGAAGGCACAGAGAAGAGGCAACACAGACCCCAGGGAAGTTGCCATAGGAGCAGGTTTTGCAGAAGTGACTGTGCTCAGCATCTGTAGCTGTTGTCACCCTAGTATCCACCCTCTTCCTCTGGCAACAGCTTCATTCCTCTCCCAGCCTCCTCCATCACATGGTTTGTGGGGAGGGACTGACCCTGCCACTCCTGACTTCAGGGACTGGCCTGTGGCCTAGGGCTGGCCATTCTAGAATGCCATTCCACTGGTTTGGGAATGGGGTGGTACCCAAGGGTGTTGAGTGAAAGTCACAGCCAGGACAAGAGGTGCGATCACTGGGAAAGGAAGCCGAGGGAATGCAAACCCAAGGCTGCTGGGACAGCCTGGCTGCCATGGAGACTGCTAGAGACAGGGCCATCAGAAAGACACCAAGCTAAGAAGGAGACAGAGACAGCGCCGGAGCATCACTGAGCCTGTGGATCCAGCCGTGCCTGAAGGCCTGGGATCTGTCAGCTTCTCAGTCTGGCTTCTGTGTGTTTTCCTTTTCTGACACATACAAACAAAAGAGCCCACATTCATACATACTCTGTCCCTTGTGCCATGAAAGCTACGTCTAAGGGGAGGCCTTGGGGAGACCACCCAGAAGAACAGGCTGCAGACACAACCAATGCTATGTGCCTATGGTATGCCACGCCCTCACTGGGCAGGAACTATGGACACTGTCCTTTGGTGCTCACAGAAGTGCCACAAGCTAAATCAAATCCGACACACATCATGTAAGAGGGCACAGAGAGGTCAAGCCACAGACCCACGGTCATCCTGCACAACTGGGGTTTGGAGGTGGTCTGCCTAAGGGCACTCTTCCCACTGTCCCCTCTCCAGGACCAAATTCCCAGGAGGAAGAGGGTGGGGCTAGTGCTGACTCCCCTGGCCTTGCCTCATGTTCCTGGGCTTTGGCCCTGGGTTTCTTTTCCTGCCCACTCCCCCAGAAAGAGCATCTGCCTGACAATACAGTGGATAATATCTATTGAATAAATACATAAATGAGTAAATGGCCAGAGAGGCTGTGGGAGAGGACAAAGAAGAAAGCAGGTCTTGATCGCCATCCCTATTCAACACCACCCCACAGGCTGGGGGTCTAGAGAGCAGGCCTACCAACAGCCTCCCCTGCCTCTCTGCCTGTCCAGTGCCCATGCTTCTGACTGGGAAGTTCTGACCCCGGCCACAAAGGGGAGACCGGGAGCCACTCAGCTCTCAGTAGTGAGAGCTAAGTGGCACGGAAAGAGGGGGACTCCAGCCAGTCAGGCATGAGCCCTGTAGAAAGGGAGCTGGGTGGCTCACATGTGAGACTCACACCTGGGCCTGCCTTGTCAGCCATAGCCCTGCTGCCTCTCCCGAGGCAACACCCTCCAAGACCACTGGGTAAGAAGAAGGCAGGCTCTCCCAGCAGCAGGTCTGCTACAAAGAGGTCTCAGATGGACGGATGGAGACTCAGTGGGTAACTTTTCCCCTCTCAGTCTCCCCAATTGTCTTCCAGGGACTGTCATCCTCCTCCTCAGGCTTCACTGACCCCACCCTCCCAGCCCCAAAGTATTCCTTTCCCCATAGTCCCAGTAATTGGCTCAGGGCTGCACACAGAATCAAAGTGGGCCAATCAGAGGGCAGTACAGGTCTATATTGGAGGCACTCTTGGCTACAGTTAGCAAGGAGGCAGGAAATGAGCTCTCAGCTGCTCTTGGGTATCTCTGACAAGATAAGGGGAGAATTCGTCTGAGAGAAGGTCAGAGGAGAGCAGAGATGCAGAGAGACAGTCCTGGTGACATTACTTAATCCCCTGGATCCAGCCATACCTGAGGCTGGTTTTCCATTTCAGAGGCAGTTAATAATTCCCTTTTTTGCTTAAGCCAGTTGTGGTAGGGTCTTCTGTCACCAATTGGAGGGAACTCACCAGGATATAGAAGGTGATAAAAATGGGGCTGGAAGTGATGCAGATCTTGGCCCGAGCAAATGGAAGCTTCCAGAGCAGGAAAATGAAGAAGAGCACATTGGGGATGAGCAGCAAGAGGTCCCAGTACCGGACCCTAGCAAACAGGTATAAAAACCAGCTCACTGGTGAGGTTGTGTCTGCATCCCCCCCACTCCCCACTCACACACTCACACACATACACACACACACACTGGGAAAGCCCGCTCACACACAGCCAGCCAGCCAGCCAAGGCTGTGACTGCCTTACCTAGAGGTGCCAATGTCCTCGTACAGCAGCAGCAGGCAGCGATGTGGCACACTGATGTTGGGAGCCAGGGGAGGGGTCAGCACTGTGCTCCCGTTGGCCCAAACCACCTCCTGCACGGTTTCCATCTTGCCAGCACCCAGCCTTGGGGGAGTGAGAGCCACGAGGTTAGCAGTGCAGAGGCTGTGCAGCCCTGGGCCTCTGGTCTCAGGCTCCGGTGGAGTATAAGAGGGGCTGCCCACAGCAAGCCTGCTGCCCGTTCCCTGTCACCCCAGGCAGGAGATGAGGTGCGGTCTTCCTGCACATGTCCCAACCCAACCCCAGGTCACGCCGTGATGGATCTGCTGTGAGCTCCTGGATGGTGCCTCCCCTCTCGGCCGCAGCTTCCTTACCCCTCATCTGTGCAATGGAACTGACCAAAGCTCTCCCAGAGCTACCAGGTGGGAAACCTGGGGAAGTCAGAAATCCCTGAGACGAAAGAGGCTGGTGACACGTCTTCACAGTTGCTATAATGCCATTCAGTGCTTCCCACCCCTAGCAGGCTGTTTGCCGCACTTTTAAAAGCCCTTATCCTTGAGCCATGGTGGACACTGTCCTTGAGAGGCCACTCCCAGTGAGCTGCCAACAGCCCAACGAGGAGCCCCCAGAAGGAAGAGAAAGCCTGGGCCCCTTTCCTCGCCTTCAAGGCCCACCTTGACCTGACCCCTGCCTACTGCTATGCCTCAGTCCCTTCCATTCCCCAGGCCCTGGCTTGTTCCCCAAATTTTGCCGACCTCAGGGCTTGCTCCCCTCCCAGCGCTGTCTCACCTTTCTGGCCACCCCTACTTAACCATCTCTCCCTGCTAGCCACACTGCGTTTTCTTGACGGCACGTGGCCTCTGTCAGAAGTGGCCCTGGCTGTGTGTTTATCTATCAGCTGTCCACCTGTTTGCTCGTGGCCCCATACCCTAGAACAGTACCGGGCACAAAAATAAGTTCTCAACAAATGTTATGATTTGGACAAATAAATCCCCAGTACATTGCAACTAAGCCCCTCTGGGGAGTGGGAGAAGGATCCAGGACCCCACAGCCCCCTCCCCACTGCACAACTCCCCACCTCCCTCCCCTGGTTCTGTGGAAGCAGCGTCCTGCAGTTTTCCAGATGGCCCCTCGCACAACCACAGAACCTCAGCTCATAAACAACACTCCCCTGGCCCTTTCAGTCTACTGAAGGCCACGGCAAAGCTGGAGGCAGGCCCTGTCACCCTGTTTGTTTGCAGATGGGAACAGAGGCCCAGATGTGGGGGTGTTTTAGCCTCAAGCCACAGGTCAGCAAGCCCTGCTCACTAGCCACAGCCCTGGGCCTGTGCAGCTATGTGTGTGGGGTCACTGCCTCCCCTCCTAGGGCCTTCCCCTCTCCCCCAACCCCCATGGGACTCTCAGTTACCTTGTCCCCTCTTCCTTTGAGTCCCCACACCCAGAGACCCCCTGGACTCCCTGACGGTGTATCCTCTGGGACGAGAAGTGGTGACTCCCCGAGGAAAGGAGCGGGGCAGGTGGGCCCCGGTCCAGCTGTGGGGATGGGAATCCACATCAGCGCTGGGCTCCCTTACAGCTGCCGCGGGGAGATCCCAAATGCACCCAGGCTCCAGGGCTGCCCGCCGGGGCGGAGGAAGGGCTGCAGATGGGAGGCGGAGGCCGGGGACCTCTCTGGAGTGGAGGTGCCAGCCCCACGGTAGGGCTTCAAGCCGATGACAGGAGTCGAGGGTCCCTCTTACCAGAGGGCTCCGGGCCGCGATCACGCCCCGCCGCCGCGGTCGCCCATCCGCAGCCGCCGGTGCACGGACCCGGCACAGGCCGCGGGACTCCGGCCTCCAGCACCTGGGGCAGGCGGCCGGCTCCGCGGAAGTGACAGCTCAGAGAGGAAGGCGAGAGGCGGTCAGCGAGCCGGGCCCACCGGCTCCTAGGACGCCATAAGGCTCTGCCTCGCAGCGGCGACCCGGAAGGAAGGCGCGTCCTTTGGTTCGGCCAAAACTGCGAGAGCAGCCACAGTCCTTCCTCGGAGCATTAGGACCCGCCCCAGCCCCCCAATAGCCTGTAGGAATGGAGCTACGCAGCGGAGAGAGCCAATCAGGCGCCAGGTGGGCGGGGCCCTCTGACCTCAGCGGCGGAGCCCGGGAGGGGACCGGAAGCCGCCGCGGGGCAGAGCCGCGGGCGTGTTTGTCAGCACCTGAGTGACGCCTTTCCCCGGCGTGCCACGCCGCGGGGACCGCCTCCATCAAATCAAATCGCACTGGCATGATTGAGCTTCGTCCAGGTCACGGGCACTAATTTTCACAACAGCCCTGTAGGGAGCTTATTACTAGTCGCATCTTACGGAGGAGGAACTTGAGGCTCCGAGACGTTCAATCACTTGTTCAAAGCCACACAACTAGGAAATGACAGAGCTTAGACGCTCTGCTTTGAACTGCCTCTGCTCGCATTTCTAACTTCAGCAATTCCTTAGGTAACTTCCTCAATGAAGCCTTCCCGGTCCATGCATGCCTTCCTGACCTCTATGCTGTGTTCTCCCCTGGCTTTTCTCACGCTGGCCCCGCACAGCCTGCCCCCTTTTCTGAGTCCTTATCTCCCACCAGCTCCCCTCCTCATTCAGCAGTTCAAGCCACAATGGTTTGTTTCTCTGCTACCAAGTTTGTTCCTGCCTGCGGGTCCCTGCATCTGTCCACCGCCTGGCTGGCTCTTTGTCACATACCCTCCTTAACATTCTAGCTAAAGTAGCTGTCCAGTCTTTGTCACATAATGCCCCCCTTTTTTTTTTTCTTTCTGAGCGCCGTCTCATTAACATTATATTAATTTGCTTTCTAGTTAGTCATCAGCCTTCCTTCCACATCAGAATGTCAATGTCAGAGGACCGAACTGTGCAGGTCACATTCCCCGCAAGCTCCTGAGGCTGACTCAGTGCCTGATGCTAATTGTAGAAATCCACTTATTACCTTAAACACAAGATACACATCCCATGATAACAAAGTTGTTTGACCGAAGGGCTGGAAGGAGATTGGACCGTGTTCTTCGCCTACTCCAGTTCTAAAAGGAAGAGTTAGGATGTCACCACTGTGGCCATTTGGCATTGGTCTTATCTGGGACTGTCCCACCCTGGCCTTCGGTCCAGTCTGAGTGCATAGTTTCTGTATCAGCCAGCAAAAGTGCTGCTCCACGCCTATGCCTGCATTCATGAATGAGCTGTGAGGAGCCAAGGTCAACAACTAGAGTTTCTGCCTGGAAGGTACATGCATCACCCCAACTCACTTTGGTAAAAGCACCTCGTAGGCCACTTTAAAAAAAAAAAAAAAAATATATATATATATATATATATATATTTTTTTTTTAATTGATTTCTTACAGAGAGGAAGAGATAGGGATAGAGAGTTAGAAACATTGATGGGAGAGAATCATCAATCAGCTGCCTCTTGCACACCCCCTACTGGGGATCTGCCTGCAACCAAGGTACATGCCCTTGACCGGAATCGAACCCGGGACCCTTCAGTCCATAAGCCAATGCTCTATCCACTGAGCCAAACCGATTTCGGCACCTCCTAGGCCACTTCTACTAGTAACATCCAGGAGGCAGGAAACTTCTCTCCTACCATATGCCAGAGAAGGACAAATGAAGTATCTGAGACCAGACTACCTTCCATCTTTACTTTTACATTTTTTCCTGGGAGGAAAGAGTTTATTCCTATCATAATGTCCTCGTGTAGGTTTCTGTGGATCTTATTTGTAGAACTCTGGGTTTCTATTTCACCCCCTCCGTTCATCCCAGGCAGTGGCTTCTTCACTGCAGTATTCCTACCCCCAGGGCAGAATGAAGCATTAGCAAATTTCAATAAATAATAGTTTAATAAACAAAGATCTGACTCCCAAGTTCTGTTCCTTACCATTCACCAAGCTCTGGGGTGGGTATCCTCTCTAGGCCCTGGCTAACAAGGAATCCTTCTACAGAACTGGCTCGCTGGTAGCAATGGGGGGGGGGGGGGGGAGGTGTCCCAAAATAATAAAGACAAGATGGTAGTCCTGCCAGTATTGCTCAGCGGTTGAGCATCGACCTAAGAACCCAGAGGTCACAGTTCACTTCCTAGTCAGGGCACATGCCCCGGTTGTGGGCTAGATCCCCAGTGTGGGCAGCGCAAGGAATAGCTGACCAATGATTCTCTCATATCATTGATTTTTTTTCTCTCCCTTCCTCTCTGAAATATTTTTTTTTTTTTTTTTTTTTTTTTTTAAAGACAAGATGGTAGTGCTCAGCTGTTAGGAGCATTGAGTGCAATCGTCATATACCATTGAGGTCAAAGTAGTAGCCAGAAGGCTGAATAGATCACTGGGATAATCAGCAGAATATCCAGTTTGATTCCATGGTTTGAGTGGTGAGAGATTTCATAGAAGTGAAAGTGAAAGTCCCTGAAATGTCTCCTCACTCACCCACATCAGCCAAGATAATAAACAAAAAACAATGTCCCATCGAAACCGGTTTGGCTCAGTGATTAGAGCGTCGGCCTGCAGACTGAAGGGTTCCAGGTTCGATTCTGGTCAAGGGCATGTACTTTGGTTGTAGGCACATCCCCAGTGGGGGTTGTGCAGGAGGTAGTTGGTCGATGTTTCTCTCTCCGATGTTTCTGGCTCTCTATCCCTTTCCCTTCCTCTCTGTAAGAAATCAAATATATATATAAATGTCCCATATCAGGGAAAATGGCAAAGATTAGTGCCACCTTTGAAGGCCTAAAACATGTGGGAAGGGTTGGGGTCCATCACATCCCTACCTAATTCATCAGCCTGGCCTTGGAAAAATACAGAGATTGATAGTAGATTGTTGCAAACAACAAAGTACTAGTAGTAGCCTAAATTGCAGCTGCTGAGCTAGTGTCAGGGCTAGGACAGATCGATATGGCCACTAATGGGTAGCCTTTGATCTAACCATCCCTATCAGGATCTGTATGCATTCACAGGTAGGGACAGCAGATTACTTATGGTCTTGCATCAGGCCTATGTTCACTCTCTCACATTGTCATAATATAGTCTGAAGAACCCAGGCCATCTAGACATTTTGCAGAATATGGCTTTGATTTATTATACCAATGATATCCTGCAAATCTGG